AAATTGGGGATTTTTTAAGTCAGAGTAAATCAGGATTCTTGCTTATAAATAAACACAATTTACTTTTCTCCTTTCAGATGATATAAAATCAGCCTTTCTGTATATGCCAGCCCAGTAGTCCACCTATTAGCATGTATAAATGTATTCTGCTTTTATATAAGAACTGTGAACTGGAATAAGTGTTGTTTCTGATTTATTTTTAAATAGGAAAAAGAAAGGTTATTTAGGGGACAAATAATTTCAGATTAAAGCCTTATAGTATGAGTTAAAAGAGAAAACAAAGCTGTTAATCAATGTTGGAAAGCCATAAATGAAAAGGAAACAAACAAAAAAAAATTACAAATCCTAGTAAAGCAGACATTGTCTGAACCTTTAATCTGCAAATTCTTAATCTGTGAAGGTTGGTTTTACCTTGCATATTTGCAAGCCCAACAAATTTAGACAGTAAGGAGTATCAATCAAGCTGTGAACTAATCATCTCTTTTCAAAACAAGTTCTCCTTCACTGAACACATTTGATAAATCCCTCTTAGGTTGGTGGAACTCTGGGACATACACAACTTTTTTTTAATTGTATCTACTTAATTAATATTTTAATCCAAAATTTCTGTACTAATAGTAGATGTCATTTATCAGTGATTGGCTTTCCTGCTATTGTAAATTTTATGATCTTTTCTACTGTCCCTATTAAATAATTTCAGGGAATTGGAAAAGAATGATAAATTTATTAAAACTGTACATTATTCTGTTACACTGATGAATGTCAAATCTTCTGGCAGGGGTCATGCATTCCATGATGAAAATTTTGTATTCCCTTTCTGCAGAGATCTTTTGTTTCCTGTTTCCTTTTGATTAAAGCTGAATCCAAGAGGTTACGTGTGTTTTAAGCTGTGCTCCCACAATTGTTTCCAGTGAATACTTAAATATCTGATGCCATTCAAGTGTGAAATTACTAAAGAAGTTGAGTTACTTGTGTGGCATCTGATGAGGCATCTCCACAATAAGGAACAGTGTTGGAAATTATGTTTGCTATGGAGACTCGTTTGGGAGGGATTTGTGGCTGCTTGGGTTTTGTTTCAACATTCTGACATAACTGAGCCAGAGTATTAGTTCCTGTTCATTTGATTATCAAGGTGTACGTGTGGGATAGTGTAGGTATATCTAGTAAATCCAGTTAATTTTAACACATTAAAATGATTATTAAGGGTATATATCAGAACATCATCCTGAACCTTACCTGTGAAGAAAAATAAATCATTCCAAAGGAACTGTTTAAATTTGACTTCTCCACCAGGAGGGAAAAATAGAATCATGAAGAACAAATTTACTCTCAGTTAAATTGGTGCAAGAAAATGGCCTTTATCTTTAAACTGTAGCCTTTTATTCCTTTTCACATTCTTAATGCAATAACAGTTTCTTAATCTGAGGCATATACTACTCAGAAGTCCTTTTGTATAATGCATGTCTCAAGTGACCATTAAACCAGGTAGACTTTTAAACTCAATGCTTCTGATACTTTGGAGTCATACTAACAGACTTAATAAAAAAGTACTTATGTGATATGGGGAAAATATACTGCAGGGAAAAAAACCATGCTATTGGAATTTAGGAATCAAAGTTTTAGGAATCCTTCTCCTTATTCCTTTCTCCCTTCTCCCCTCCTCCACCCCTTTTTCCCCCTGCCATTTTAATTACTGCAGTTTCTTGCTCCTCCTCATTTCCTTTGTATTCCACAACACTCATTTTGTCCTCTCCAATCCAATCAAAATGAAGCTGCAATGATCAATAAATTTCTTAATCTGAGGCATATATTACTCAGATATCCTCTTGCATAAAATGTGCCATCTTCCTTCTCTGGCACTTTTACCATACTGCTTTCAGCCCTCACTTTGAATTCTACCTGACTCCTATTGGTGAACTCAAGGCATTTTTCACCTTGAGCATTTTTCAGAGTCATTCTTTTTCTGCACTTAATTCTCCAGAAGTATAGCAATCTAGGTACCTACTCTTGGTTCTAGATCCAAGGGACTAGGAGCATAAAACTCATATGCTACTGGGCCTAAATTTGGAGCACCTCAGTCCTTTAATGGATATAAGTATAAATAAAACCTTTAGATTCTCAGGGCTAAAGATCCACAGTAGGACTTAGGCTTTACCATACCTCACATTTAGGTGCTCCCTTTGGTTCCAAATTAGGTACCCAGACTTACCTGGTGTGAGGAGAAAATTAGGTACCTAAAGATAGGATTCACAATAGGTAGCAAATTGAGCAGGGCGATACTAAAGGTAGTCAGTATGAAATGCCAAGGAGAGGTGTGGGGCTTGATTCCATGCTTCAGGTTTTAGGATTCTCAGCTCTGTATCTTCTTCTGGCATAAGGTACCATGCAATGGTTAAGACACTCACCCAGATTTAAAGTTGGAGCATGAACTTATACTTTTCCCAGCAAGTGTGGCTTATTCATCAAATGATAAGATGTTCCAAGGGGACTCGCTCTCAGTCTGTCCTGTTGAAAACTTTATACTTAATATTAACTGATGTAGGGTCTTGAACATGAAGCTCCCAATTTCCTGATAAGAATTCAAACCAGCAATGTAGAAGACTCCTATCTTGTTATCTCTTATTTTCTCTCACTTTCCCCCAGTGCATCTGTAATTCTTTAGAAGAATGGAAGGTCATTTATATATGTGCTCTAGGAGTCAGGGAGGAAGGGGGTATTTAATAAGCATGGTTCCAAAAGCCACACCAGTTAAATTGCTTGGAATGTCATGTGTATCAACATCCCCACACTGAAAAATGGTGCAGACTCGATTAAGTGATTCTGCCCCAATATGCTGTAACTACAGTGCATTGGAGCAACCTCCCTGCGCAGGTATAGGAGCCCAGAGATACTCATGGAACCGCATATGTATCTGGCCAGCATGCAGCTACTATGTTGGCCTAGTAACAATGTAGATGCTTGAAAATGAATTACCAATATAGATAGATAGATAGTAGTGTTTCATTTTAACCAAAACATTTAATTTTAGTCATTTTATAGATAGAAATATAGCTATAGATGCTGGTACATCAATGCTGTGTGTGGAAAAGGATTATTAAATATGTGTAAATGCCAAAAATGGTAACTACATTCCTGGCTAAGTAGCATTTGCACATGTAAAATGTGACTTATGACATGTGAAATAGGACTTTGACCTTGGTCTGTTAATCCTGATGAGCAGGGATCCTGGTGGTGCAGGGTGGTGGGTGGCAGCACTCGGTCCCTGCCCCCCCACATCATTGTTAATGGGCACTTCACTAGTATATACGTATTTTTTCATATAATAAATGCCTTAGTCTGTCTGTCTGTCTCTCCGTAATGCTCTGGGGTAACTGTGCATGCATTGCGAAGAGGGTGCACACCAACTGGCTGCCAGGGTGCAGAGTGTTGCATACAGATGGGGTGAGGAAGCTGCTGCAGTGCCCCCCCCACAAGAAGCAGCTGGCAGGGAGGGGGAGGTGGTAGGGAAGAGGGGAGGGACGGAGGGAGGGGAGTGGGAAGAGGAAGGCGGGGTTTCTGGTAGGAGGGCCCCCCCACCGCCATGCCCCCATCTCTGCTGCTGCCACCTGACCCTGACAACAGCCAGCAGAGTGGTGGAGAGGGAGGGAGGAGAAGGGGAAGGGAGGCAGGGAAGCGGGGCATGTTGCATACCACTCCCCCCCACCATTCCTGGGAGCTGGTGGCAGTGCGGGGTGGAGCAGCGGCAGGGGGGGTGCATGGGACCACATTGGGAGTGGTGGGGAGTGAGGGGAGTCCCACAGTGCCAGAAGTGGGAAGTGGAGGGGAATGTGGGGGGATGCACGGGGCTGGATGCAGGGAGTTGATGGTCCAGTCCTTACTGGTCATTCAATAGAGGCCTGCTA